CCCGCCGCACCCCCGGGAGCCGCGGCCCGGCCCCGGGGCTTCGCGTTCCCCCTGCTCCTCAACGGGAGGGTCGCGGTCAAAAAGGGACGACTGCACAGGGCTGTGGTAGCCGAACCCAAATGCCATAAAGTTCACATTTTAAGCCGTGCCACCCGGGTGAAATGCCCCCGCTACTTACGCTGGAAGCGGCTCGCGAAGTTAGCACATGGCCAAAGGAGACATGGCGCAGCTTGAAGGGGAACACGGCCGCCTCCCCAGGTACCGCTGCCCCGAGGGGAGCATCGGGTTAGGGATGCACTGTGCTCCCGGGCCCAGCTCCTTAGGCCTTACCTGGAAAACCAGCACAAGCCGCACGCCTTCCCCTGCCTCTCCCAGGGATCTCGTGGGCTTTTTCAGTTCTTGGACACAAGAGCTGCATATATCTCCACTCGCATGCTGATTATTTACATCTTCACCATGTAAAAATCCCTTCAAAACAGACAAGCTGGATCCTCAACCACAAGAGTCCATAACTTAAACACCCACTGGACAGAGGGACTCTTGAGAAGTAGGAACCTGCCCTTATTACTTATGTCCATCCTTTAAGGAGGCAAAGTTACTATTTTATTAGAAGAATTAATGCAAGTGCAATAAGACAAACTTTGAGGTACCACAAGCTGCCCCCCACCATCACCCAAAGGGCCTGAAGGTTGGATTTTTTTCAACCACAGCAATTGCTCTTATAGAAAGGTATCAAAACTCTCCTGACAAACCAAGTGTAACTTTGATCCTTCAGTTACCAGAGCTGCAACGCTACCATTACATTGCAGAAAGTCACCACTGCAGTTTTGGTTGTTTGTACAATTGAAAAAAAAAAATTACTGGTCTTTGAGGCAAATATACATTCTTGGAGGGAAGACAATCTCCCTGTCTGCCTGGCAAAACAAATTGGAGAGCGCTCAGTCTCATGGAGACTAAGAACTATTTCCATAGACAACTTCCTGCAACATAAAGACAGGCAAAATAAAAATGTAAGTGAAAATAAAGATGTAAAGAACAGGCAAAATACCACAAAATAAGCTTAAATGGACAGCTTCCATCTCGGCATACTTTCATCCAAGCTACTTTACTTACGCAGAAGGATGCATTTGCACAGTGCTTCAATCAGCCAAGTCTTGGGACACCAGCAGATTGCCCAGACAATGCTGTAAAAGAATTCAGCTTTGAAATTCTTTCTATTTTAACAGGAATCAGATAAGGAGTCTGTCACAGGTTAAACAATACTATATCACACCTGGATGCCAACTTCATTAAAACTTAGAAAACAAGCTCTGTATAGTTTTAAATGCTAGGCTTAAAAAAAAATAAAAATGTTTGGTATGAAAATGCTTTATTCATGGTTTGACAACTTAATTATGCTCTTCACAATCATACTCAGCATGCTGAGTTTGTGGCACTTAATCTTTAAATCTGCATTTTCTAGTCCTCATCTGAGGGAAAAAGGATCTCTTTGAAAACAGCAATGGCTGCAACTGCTGCACCTGTACATACAGCAGAAACAAAAGCAAGACAACATTTTCTGTTGATTATTTTTTCTATGTGGACGGAAACAGGAGAATTAAGAGATGAAAATGATCTTGGAAATTAGCTATTCCATCTCCCTGCTGATAGAGAATGAAGAGCAAATACCTCTCCCAGCTACTCCAGCCCTTCTTATTCCAATCAGCTGCATAGCACTTTTAAGCCATTTTCATTAGCGATAGGTTGGTTTTGGCTACTGTATCACTGAACTAAGCCTACCCTAACACCTTGGAAACAGGATGGTTAGTCATAGCTTAGTTCTCTTTTACAAGTCTGGCATACTATAACCATCACCTGGTTTTAGCCAACTTGTTTTCCTCTTTAATCCATTAATTTAGGTCCATACCAATCCTTTTTCTTGCCTTCTTGGAGCCTTCCCCCTCCTTCCTGCAGGACAATTGGGATGTTCCAACATCAGTAACTGCTTTAGGTGCATTTGGGTCCCTTCTGACCTTGTTGCTGAGATTTCACAGGACCTGACAGCAAGGTGAGGCTTTGGGCCTTCTTTACAGTGACCACCTTGGTTTAGTTCTTTGGAAGCCAAGAGCAGATCTAAAACCCAGCAGTCAGGAGGGGAAAAAGAAAACAAATAGATGCAATTAGGGAGCAGGAAGCATCTCTACCACTGCTTGGCACAGGCCCACTTATACACCGGGAATAACCCTCTCCGTATAGAATGGAAAGGAGACACCTCATGGAAACAGTAAAGGAAATCTTACCAAAAGATTCCCCACTGCAAGGCTACAAAAAAAAATAAGTCCAGCCTGATTTAACAGCACTGATTTCCTTTTCCTCAGCCAATTCATGAGGAGCCTAACAGAACTGGAAGCTCATTCCAGTAACCTGCTTGTCCCCAAAGCATCCAGGCCTGCAATATACCAGGGAGTGCAGAAAAGGCAGGGGAGTTTATTCTCTCTCTACCATCAGGGGCCCGAGGCAGGACAGAAAAATGCCATTACTTTCTTCAGTGGTTTTCATAGAACTAGGAAGGTTGGCACTCGGATAGTGCCACTGGGGATGTAAAGTGCTGTAGCCACCCTGCATCCCAACTGGAGTTCCACACCAAGGGAATTCCTCTGGGCAGCAGCTGTTATTCCTCACAGTTTGAAACTGTCTTCCCAAGAACTACCTGGCACCTGTGTCACGCAGACACAGGGCACAATCTTTCAAAGAAGTCCGCTCTCTTGTGCTCTAGCGCCTGCAGAAAGCTCTGGATTTTCGGGCAGCGCATCCGTGCACCAGTGTCCGTCGACGCCGAGAAGAGTCTCCATGAGATGCCAACCCCTCCTGCTGCAGCTTCTCTGTCACATAAGCCTGATCCCTTTCCATCTGTTGTCGCCTCCTTTCCTCCATGTAGGAGTCTCTGGCCTTCTGCAGTGAAAAGCAGCAGAGCATTAGCACTTCACCAGGCCTCCCTGCCCACCCGTGGTACACATACAAGGTAGCAAACAGCAGAAATAACCTCTGCTTGGCCATCAATCAGCAGGTTAAATAAAGAGAGGCTCTGTGTGCACCTCCTGTGCTGCCAGGCAGCTGCTTGATTGGTTAGAGAAAATACAGGAATATCCTTCAGGACCTTCTCCTTGAGATATAGCTCTGCTCACAGCATTAACTTCTAGTTAAAATAGATAAAGGTCACGGCAGACTGTGGAAAAAGCCTCAGATACCTGACTCAGAGAGGAGCAGAGTAGAGGAGTGGTTTCACATCACAGACTCGCACACCAGCTATCCTTGCCAGTGTCATTACAGAATCTTTGAACCCATTCACATGGCCGCAGAAAGGCTTTGGGAGATTCAGAACAACGATTTATGGGGCAATTCTTTGAGCTCATGATCGGGTCCTGGGCTAATTGGCTGCAGTGAATGGGCTCAGCATTGCCAAATGCCTGTGCTCTAATAATGTACCAGCTCCAGACATGGCATAATGGGCAGGATAAAGGAAAATGTGACAGCTCTCTTTCCACCTATCCTCAAGCATTCAAAATATATTGTAAAGAAACACTTTTGGGTTTCTTCTCATTGCACATACCTTAACTTGGCAGGCATAGAACTGCTAACATAAGAGCTACATCTGCGTGGAGGCAGATTAAGCCTTCATTAAAGAGAAATAAGACTGTGGTCATTGTTATATAACCTGATATGCATACATTAAGGGAATACTGGCTTTTCAAGAAAGCAAAATGTCCAAAATACTTACTGGAATGAGGAATTCTCATACTTTTGACCACACTTCCTCCCTATTCAACTCATCAGTCTGTCCTCTGGCACTGTAAACTAACTTTTGTTGTGCTGGGATGAAGTGAAATTCTGCCCATGCACCAGAAAAGATATAGAGTTTTCAAGAGGGGGCTTTCAAGAAGCTCAGCATCTTAAACTGGCTGGTTTTGCCCTCTGGAGCACTCACCTGTTCTGCCCTACCAGCTAAGGAGCAGGAACAAACCCTTCCTGCTGGTGGAGCAGCAATGAGCAGTGGAGGCACTGGCAACTTTAGATACCTTAGTTATTCCAGAAAAAACAGGAGCTTGTCCACATCCTAAGATGATGTAACAAGCTACAGGCATTCAAAAGTCGCACATCTAGAATAAGCTGCTATTAAGGTATTAATGCACTAAATTCCAAATTCCCTGTTCATACTTCACCTACTCTCACCTGATCTCCAGCATGTTATAGAGCTCTTCTATGAAGAAAATACTGTGTCTCCAGCTCCCTAAGGCTCCCTTACCTGTAAAGTGCTGTAGTTCATCTGGAAGCGCAGGATAGCCTCACACAGGTTCCAAAAGGAATATTCTGGCCACAGCACTGACTGAAATACCAGGCACGAATGGGATGTCTGCAGAAAGCAAGTTCATCAAGAATTTAGGTGTCTAGTGAAGGAAAAGTCATCAAGACAAAGCTCAGTAAAAATAGGCCTTTTTGGCCACAAAGACTTTACTTAGGTTGTGTTATCAGATTCCTACATAAAATGAAATAAAAATAACTAGGATACTTCGAAACTGTACAGTGTAGAGTCTTTCTGCCTAGTCTGCTTTTAATCCTGGGACAAGTGCGATCCGTTCCCGTACAAGTAATCAGCAGAATTATTTCAAATGCTAGGCTGGTCTTCACTCTTCACAGAAGTATTTCTAATAGCTGAAGTATAGCAGATATACAGAAAAACTAAAATAGCACTTCTGGACTATCAAAGGCTGAGTTAGAAGAGCAACAGATGAACTGAGGATCAGTTCATGACACTTGAGACCTTTACCAAATGACGTCTTGTGATATTCCTCACTGCCCTCTCACTGCATTTAAACTGCATAACGAATCTAAGAGTTGTGTTGCACTGTTGGCATCCTAGAGCTGCAAGATGGAAGCTTTCAAGTGAAACATCCACTTTTGCCATCAATTCCTTAAAGTTTCAATTAAGCAGATAACCTTTCAGCAAACATTCCTATAAAACATGACACTTAACAGGACCCTGCATGTTCTTTCTAAAACTCACAGTGCTGTAAGAGAAATCTCAGCATGAATTCTACACAAGAGAATGCTGCAAGGACATTTTGCTGCCACAGAATCACCCCTAGTAGCACAATTTTTGTACTTTGGGGTTGTTAGGACTCAGATTACAGCCAGCAAAGGTAAATTTGCACTAGTGCTTTAAATGGTGACCTGGCAGGGTGGGAGCACAAATAAACATTGCCCTCTACCACTTCTGTTGAACGAGCTGCAGTCAGTGGCAGGGGAGAGGGGCCTCTTGCCAACAAGATTCACAAAGCATTCAGCTGCTCAGCAATGCTCCATTGGTTACGTACAAGCTCAGGCTCCAAGACATCCTCGCCAGGACTGCCAACAAGAGAAACGTCCCTTTGCAGCACTGACACCTGTCCAGGGCGTACGTGTGCCCAGAAACATGGCGAGGAGGGAAGAATGCCTTGCTGGGCAGCCCAATTCGGGCCAAGCAACTTCCATGAACTTGCAAGCTAAACGTCTTAGAAGAGGAGTATTTGATGTGGTTGCTTAAAGGAATTTGGTTCTTGGCTCCAAGCTGTACATATTGCAAAAGAAAGGTTAACTTTTAAGTAAAACCGCTTGACTCAAATGTTCTCAGTGTTCTCTGCAGAGCCTAGGTTACAAGCATTTCAGTACTGCTTAGTATGTGAAAAAGAAATAAAAATAGCAATGCAATTGCAGATACATGAATTTCACATGTTAAGAACTTATTATACCTCAGCTTTGTGGACTGAGGCATTTTATTTGGACTTTGCCATCCTCAGAAGCTGTTCTGAGAGGGGTCTTGTTTCACTACCAGGGTCAAAAAAAGTTGCAAAATGTCAACAAGTCAGTCATGCACATTATGTATAGATTAGCAGGGTAATTCTTCAATTCCTACAACTGAAGGAAACATTTGACACCTTCTTCCAGAAAACCTTTCTGAATTTTTCCTTCAACAAGCTACCTACAACTTAGCTGGCAAGTGTTTAAAAATTCTCACATCAGTTCACGTCTGGATCCAGCAGAACTCTCCTCTGCAAAGATGGAAAATATTAAGGAAAAAAACCAAAGTTAAAGACTTTACCTGCCAGAGTAGAAAGTCGCTCAACCGGACTTCTCCTGAGGTTCGTATGAGGAGATCTGGGTCTGGGGAGTTGTTGGTGTACAGACACTTATCAAGCAAGGACTCTGACACGTCACTAAGGGAGACAGATGCACTCCATTGAGATTACCCTCACAGCCTGGTGGAGGTGGTACTACATAACCAGAATTACTGAGAATTAAACATATTAAAATTGGGTGACTGGAGCTGTACCACAGCCAGCCATCAGCTTCCTTTGGACACACACTGCTGTCTGCTCCATGGGCTATTTCAAATGCTGCTTTAGCCCCCACAGCATGTCCCTCATCCTCCTTTACTGGCCTAACAAGACTGTGAGGTTCCCTCTGGAGCAGAGGGCCAAGTGCTAACGTCTCCATCTCCTCCAGGGCGGAGGAACAGTTCAATATTCATGATTCATCTGTTCTTTGACCTCATAGCTAAGACTGACAGTTAAGAAGCCAACTACTGTGGCATAAAATCTGCCTTCACATTTAAACTAACTTAAGACACAGACCTAATTTCTTTTCTGTCTGGCTTGTGAACCCATCCCCATGGTAACTGAAATAATAAAAACTAACAACTCCATAGTAACTTAAGTCATTTGTTCCAGTCAGACTGGTTTAATAGAATCTATTTAAAAGCTACTTGGTTTCTGGGAGGTAATTAGGAGACATAGGAGGTAGGACAGAGAACGAGGAGAATTACCTGGGTTCGAGCAGTCCTTGTTCTACCCCCCAGGCCATCTCCCTCACAGCATTGCTGATTTCATGTCTCGATGTATATGCAAAGCAGACATTTAGAAAGCATCTGAAAAGAGAAAGATGTAAAAGGAACTAATCGAGAGAAGGGCTTAGCAGATGGCAGAGAGAACCACCTCTCTGGAAGAGTTACACATGCTCACAGGAAAAGAAAAATGTCTGTGCTGTATCTGCCAAGTCTCAGCCTTTAGGTACACGAGGCAGACACCAGCTATCAGCCACTTTGAACAGTGCATTACTCCTTACTTACTTGTTGTAGTTCCTGGTTGCCAGCACAGCTTGGGCAATCAGTTCCTGAATATCCAATGGCAGAAGTGGCAGGTCCCCAAGGACACGGATACACACACCATGCTTCTTCAAGTTCTCCCTGCAGCCAACAACAAGAGTGAGGACTGCAGAAAACAGGTCAGTCCTGACTGGACGAGAGCCAGGTTTGCCTTGCATAACATCCACCAAATGGGAAATGCAGGCATGCAGTGGTAAAACAAAATTAAGAATTAGAAAAAGGCATAACAACCAAATATTGTTCACAGATGACTTAGGGATTGGTTTGGGATGATGGAAAATGAAGGGGAAACTGATGGTTCTATACACAGATTTCTGATTCACAAACTTAATCAAAGCACAAGATAATGACCACAGATTAGGCATTCCTATTTGAGGTTAGGAAACACCTATTTGGGGAAAAAAGTGTACACAGATATCTAACTAATGAAAAATAAACAACATAGGAAACAGATAATAATGGCCATCTCAACAGCATCTTTTTTTCTGCTCTAAGGAAAGATGAGTGCATCAACAAGGGGATGGCAAAATGGAAACTAGCTGAGATCGGAAACTCATAAGATTTCTCAAGGTTCCTGCTACTGTCTGACCAGTGCTACAAGCTCCCTTGTGATTAAGGGTCACGCTGGGTAGAAAACAGGGCAGCTAGCACAGATTGCAAGTTCATGGCCTCCTGGATTCATAGCATGCCGCAGTGCTCAGGTATTCCTGCTCTTCTCAAGTTCTGCCAATGAACACGAGTCATCCTTTCCCTCCACTTATTCCAGTTGTGCTCCCTCACTGCTTTACTGGTTTATTTTGTCTGGGTAAGCATCGCCTCTCTATATGCACGTTCTTCTCACCCAGGAGGAATGGGGACACAAATATATGCACCAAATGTGAGCAACACGTCACCATAATCATTTTGGTCACTCGGAGCTGTACTAGTTCTGACTACACAGACCACATAAATTAGGTCCCCAACTCAAAACGTGACCTCACACACTATATGCCCATCTGTAGAGGTCTCAAGTACTTTGAAACACAAGCTGCAGAGTTAAAACTCTAATTTCCTGAGGATACTAGGACTGAATTCAAGATAAAGCATTGATATTTCACCAAAACAGGCACCTAAGGCTCAAGTCCTAAGCAAAATGTATGATTGTGTTGTCTTCAGCTGAAAGCTGCGCTGTTTCAAATAAATGGACAGGATTATTATGCAATTAACCCTAAAATAAAAACAAGTTTGTTGTGCTTGGAGACAGAGCATGCTCAGGAGACCTGGAGGTGACATATGGCAACACAGACCACTGGGTGGAGAACTGCTGCCTTCATTTAAGCCATTTTCACAAGTTGCATAAGAGAAGCTAAGGGAATATTCCATGTTTTGCCATTACGCCACCCCGGGAGAAACCCACACGAGAGGATTCTTACTGTTCTTCCAGTAGGCGGCTAAATTTCTGCCTCGCCAGATCCATTAGCCCATCCACTTCCTCCTTGGAGCGTTTAAAGTTCTCAATACTAAATGCATAAACAGTGACCTCCTGGATACCCAGATTTAAACACCAACGCAGCGTCTGTTAAGGAGACAAAAGGTAATTAAAAACTGAAATCAGGTAAGCAGCCTCAGGAAATCAGGCAGGTAGGCAAGACCCACCTGCTCCGCTGCTAAAACTTCCCTGTAATTCCCCACTACAGCAAATCTGGGTCAAAAGAAACTAAGATCATTAAGAGCTGATGACGAATTCCACCTGATGACGAGTGTCAAATATAGCTCAAAGAATTGGAGAAAAATCTTCCTAGTTCCAGTTCAAATCATTATTAAATTTTATAGCACAGATTCCAAATAGAGCATAACCATGAGACTAGCCTTTTCACAAACTGAAGCAGAATTAGCTCTGCACAAGGCCTGATTCCAAGGAAGAAAAAATAAAACATATCAGCAAAGTGGTGAACTCAGCTCAGACTTGCAACATCCAACCTAGGGGCAGCAACCACCCTTCCCACCTGTGCCAGCTTCTCGAAGCCTTGCGAATGCCCCTGCTGTCTCTCCACGTGGCACTTCTGGGCATAGCGGCGATTGCCATCCATGATGAAGGCAACGTGCTTGGGCATGGGACCTGCCTAGAACATAAGGAAAAGTGACACAGAGCAGATGACACAGGAGGCTAAGGATCAAGCTGGCATCTTGCCTCACAGAGAGCTCAGCCCTGCTGTTCTTGGCAGCACTACCTATTTGTAGGAAGGAAATAGTTAGTCCCACCTTAAATCCTGGAACTGGAAAGAGAGTAAGCAGCTAATTATCATTTTGCTAATCCTATTTAAGGCTCTATAAAAACATTTCAGCACTGACAATTGCCTCAGACGAAGAGCAACTCTCTTCCTCCATATTCTATTACATGACAGAGACTCAGGAGAGAAAAGGGCTGTGACGCAGCTACCTCTCTGCAGACACTGGGGAGTTTCACACTACTGTCAGCCTACGTAATTTTGCTTTAGGAGTTCACAAGTGTTGCTGCAGACATATTTAAGACATATAAAGCCATCATTTTTCCCCCTTTAAGGGCAGCATTTCCTTCTGCTGACCTCATTAAACTCACACAAATCCCTTTGAGGGGACAGTAGCACCAGCTTCAAGACTGCTGAGCACAGAGAATTCTCCTGGAACTGGGGGACTGGGATTTCATTCACCAGAAACTCAGCTTCATTTTTTAGAACCATACTCAGAACATCACATTTCCTTCCCTCCTCCCATGCCCTGTCTCCCTCAGCAAGGAAGCACAACCCTGGAAGCTGGAAACTCAGCTCACTGGAAAGCACTGCCTGCAGCCCAAGTAACTTCCCAGCCCTAAATACTGTTTAGGTAAACATCCAATGCCAGAATTAATATGCGATAATGTTGCTTGCAACTCTATTTTTCCAAAACTGAGCTGTCACAGAGGCTATTACTATAATTAATATTCATTAAGGTTCATTCCTTACCTTAATAATGTTGGCGCAAAACCTCTCTATGATGGTCAGCTCACCTTCTCTGATCCACGACATGGCTTCTGCTGAGAGCTTATTTTCTCTTTAATTAGGAAGATGAAAATAAAAGGGACAGAGATTCTGCAGAACCCAAAGTAAGATTATAAGGGATCTGCCTGGGGAAAGAAAAAAAAAACACTTTGGTTAACTGTTTTCAAGCTCTTTTATTATTTGTACCAATTCACAGATAAGCAGGTGATGAGGGAGCTAAACCTTCAGCTTTTTTTTTTTTTACACTCAAGTTGCTGGAAACCCTTAGAACAAAACCTGCCTACTCGCCAGCTGCGCTACTGCCACCGCAGATGGGCCTTGCTCTTCCCAATAGAGAAGTGTAGCCTCCACGGCCATAAAAACCTTGCTTTCTCACCACGTTATCCACATAACGAATATTTTAACAGGTCTGAGCTTCACTAAACTTCCAGACCCACCTTCAAGCCCTGCAGCCAGGAGTGCCTAGAGAGCGACAAGCGGCCGGCGGGCTCTGCTGCTAGAGCCCCTGACGTGCTGCAGAGGCCCTCTCCTCCACCCCCACCCCGGACTACGCTTTCCACGCCGCTTTCCGTGGAAAAACATCCCCTGCATTCCCAGAAAAGCCACTGATCCCACCAGAAAGGGGCA